CAGGTAGCTATTAGAATCTTATTTTTCCACTCAGATATTCTTAGCTTACTTTTTCAGTAACTCCAAAAGAGAAAACAGCTGAAACTCATCTATAGCAAAGAGCAAAGGAGTGATTCAAGGAGGAAGGAAATTTGATAAATCTGAACACATGCTCCTTCCTTTGGTTGTAGAGACACAGAACATATTACAGCAGTCAAAAATTGTTAGAGGGAGCAATTCCAGACAAGTCTTGCCACCCCCAGTTAATCAAAGGACTGTTCTAATGAAACACAAATTGCTCCTGAACCCAAGATTCCTATTCCTACTCTGGATTTTGGGCTCTTTAGCCTTGAGTTCTTAACTCACAGGGGTCCAGCTCTGACAGACCAGGCAGCATTTTCCTTCTGGAATAATTTAGTCCCTGGGAACCACAGCCAAAAAGAGCAGCCTGCATGGATCTGAGGCCTTTCTGCTGGAAAGGACAGACAGACATGGCTTCTCCACATTTAAATGTCTGGCCTGGTCATTTGGATGGCCCAACATCTTTTCTCTTTAGTCTGCACTGCAAATGTCCCCCAACATTTCTTTTGGGATGGATCACAACCACTCAGGCCACTGAAGACACCTTTTCCTGTCCCACTGCTGGGAGGGCTGTGACAAATGTTGCTCTTTCAGACCCCAAAGCAGGCTCTCACCTATGTCTTTGCCCATAGCTTGTGCCAGTTCCTCCACAGTCATCTTCTGCCTTATCTCCACCTCACCCCTCGTCATGGGAATCTTCTTTTTCTTCTTTTTTGTCTCCTACATGGAATTAGACACATACACAGGAATATATACTAAGAAATAACAAAAAACAATATTAAAAAGACAATGGTCTCAAGCCATATGAGAAAAACACATCTTCTTTACTATAATACCAATTAATTACAATTAATGAATGAGTGAACAGATCATAATGAACATTTCAAATATACAGCACACTACCCTTAATCTTTCTGCATTTTTAATTTTTCAGAACAAGGACAAAAAGCAATAAAACCATTTCCATTTGTGCTTGCAATAATTTCCTCCACTGTCAGCAAAAATTCATGATGCTACTGGTGTAAGTCAGCATTGAAAGGGAATGGCAAAAAAAAATATACATGAAGTACATTTTGTTTTATAGATTTATAACAACTTCTCTATACTCATGAATAAAGCCCTTTTTTCTTTTTGAATTAAAATGTTCAAACGGAGCTCTTGTACTTGCCACACAAACCCAGGGATTACTGGATGTCCCTAATTACCTCCTTTGTGGCTAGATGTCTGCACTGTGATAAGGCAGCACTGATTAATCTGTGTTTTGGCCAGAGCTGTGGATGCAGAGGGAGGGACCCCATGGGATGTACAGACAGCTCCACAGGCTTCCATTGTGCTCCACAAACTTTCCTGGAGGACAGGGCACGCAGCTGCTGGCAGGCACCACGGAGCTGCACCAGATTTTCAAACCTCAGCAGCAACCCTTGGTTCATTTCCCCACTGCAAACACAAAGCACACAGCGAGGTCAGCCTCGAGGCTCAGAGATCCTCCTTCTCAGGACAAAATGTACAGGAATACAAGGCACAAATGAAGATGTCATGTTTCCAAACATTTTTAATGCTGACAAAATGAAATTGTTTAGGAACTGTTCCAGCTTTTTCATTTCCTTCTGTGCTTCACCTTTCTCCACTACTCCACTGCAGACACATGGATCTACTAAGAGCTTATAGATCTTTCATCTTTCTCTGATTTGAACCATTAATTCCCTCATTGCAGGTTCTATGACGTCTCCCACAAAAACCCCACATTTGCACTCCTCACACCATACTGACAGAATTACCCAAGTGTCAAAACCACCTCTCTAAGCCAGCAAAACACACCTGCTAAATGCCCTTTTCCTGAGCATTTCAAGACAAAAGCACCACTGAAAGACCACAGCACGGCAGTGACACCAGCGCTGACCTAAGCCCCGGCTCAGCAATTAGGCTTCTGTCAGATCATCCCACATCTTGTTTTAACCATCTTAACTTCGGTTTGAGTCGTTCTGCCGATTATCCCGTACGACACCCTGAGCTCCTCCTGTTGCTCAGAGCTGCCTGTTCTGCGCTGGCACACCCCTGGAAGTGCCCAAGGCCAGCCTGGACGGGGCTCCCTGGGATCCTGGAAGGTTTCCCTGCCCACGGCAGGGGGTGGAGCAGGATGGTCTTTACGGTCCCTTCCAACCCAAACCATTCTGTGATTCTGTCCTGCTCGGGGATGGACTCTCTGTTCCTTCCATGTCCCCACTCACAGCTGTCCCTGTGTCACCCTCCCTGCAGCTCCAAAGGCAGGGAACGCTCTCGGCTCCTCCCAGAATGGCTGCGGGCCCTTTAAAACCTCCCTTGCACCCGGATTCCTGCAGGAAGCGAGCACCTGACAGAGCAACCAACCCAACCCAGCTATTTTGGTGGCGTTTTTAACCCTAAAGAGAACCTTGAAGTGGCCGAGCTGCCACAAGCCACGCGGAGCTGCTACAAGACGCCAACACAAGGTCAAGGCGACACTGGCCCAGCTCACAGCAGCGAATCCCACGCCAGGCTCTGACTGCGGAAAGCCCTTCCCGGCTCCCGGGGTGGAGGAGCGACATTCCCGCTCTCGCTGCTCTCCTACCCATGGTTCTGGCTGGTTAATACCTGTCAGCTGCAGCCCGCCCTCCCCTCGGGGGCAGCGCCTTTCTCCGAGCCCCCGGGTGCCGGCCTTGGCAGCCCGAGGAATGAAGGAAGGAATGAGGCTGGAAAAGAGGGAAGGGAAGGAAGGGAAAGGGCTCCGCGTCCCCTCAGTGCCTCACGCCGGGCGCGCCGCTCTCTGCGCATGCGCTGCGAAGGAGTGCGAGGGGAACCGCGCAGGCGCAGCTGCCACCCCGGGGCTGCCCGGACGGGGGCGGGGCTTCGCCTCACGGGAGGCGGGAAATGCCCTCAGGGGACGGGAACAGGGATTTTCTAGGTTTATGCCCATTTTAGGGTTTTGAAACTTATTTTTTAAAACATCTATTTGTCTAGGTACACACTTAAATCTGTTTTACTCCTTCCTGCCAAGAGACAGCAGCTTCCTCTCTGCAAAGCCCTCCCCACCCACATGCAATCGAAAGCTTTGACGTGCCTGATGTTTAAGTCCTCTCTAATTTGGCGTCTCTAAAACAGCGCCACTTAATGGAGTAGAGGAAACCAAAATGTAAGATGAAGCTCTACAAGCAAAAAATCCTTAATGTTGCCCGGTTAACGCCGGTTGTAAAACCCAGGGATAATCCCAGGGCTCTGATGCTGTGGCGATCCCTGTCCGGACAAATTGGGTGTGACAAATAATGACCATCATTTCCTGTACATACCTGAGCCGTGTATTTCACGCTCTTTGCCCATAGTGTGTGACCCGTGATAGTTCACACACGTGGTTTTCCACACGCGTTTTGCTGCCCTCAGTATCTTTCCTACAAGAATTTGCTTATTTATGATGCTGGGTGTTGAAAAAAATAAGCATTCTGCATTTCAAAGGTGGGGTACTGGCACCTTGAAATGCTCAGGGCCTTTGAGTGCTTCTCCACGGGTAAAATCATCTCCAAAATAGATGACAGTAAAAAAAAAAATTAAAAAAAATTAAACACCAAAACATCCACTGGATGCTGCCTGGAAATCTTCCTGTGCGCTGCTGTAAGGCTGGGAATTAGCGTGGCATCGTATTTTATCCACATGTCTCTTAACCGCAGAGTCATACTGTTTTAATTTAAAGTTTATTACAGATTGCCCGTTTTTCTGAAGGGTAAACAGGAAACAAATAATTATTGATGTCATAGGTCAGGGCGATGGTTTGGGTTGAAGAAATATTTTCCAACTGTGTGGCCATTAATGTTTGGCTTTGTCCCTTAGTTCTGATTATTACTGGTGGATTTAAAAAAATACAAATTATGCAGTTTTTGTTTCTAGGCTGTATCATGTATTTTGATTTTCTTTTTAGCTTTGATTTTTTCCGTAACTTTCTTATCTAGCAGCATTTTCATCAAAACTGTAAGGAGCACTCCAGAACCTGAAATTAGAGCAAGAATATATACGTAAAGAATTAATAGAATTAAACGGAGACAAATATCTGCTTGAAACCAACGTTTGAACCAAATACAGTTCCCACGGAATGTGTGTGGAAGCAATGTGTTAATGTCACTATATTTGGGAAGAAAATGGCTTTAAGGAATGTGAAAAATGTGTATTTTATGACTGCCTTTTCGTAAATATTAAAATGAACATTATATGTATTATGTTAGAAAGTTATGCTGTATTAATTTTCTTAAGTAGTGTGTTAAATATAGTTTTAGGTTATAACATAATGCTAAAATAGAAACTATGCTATGTAGGATACTTTTTTTTAAAGAGAGGAATGAAGTATTCACAACGAGATAGCAGCCACAGGACACCTAAATCTTTCAGAGAAAAAGAATTTATTGCTCCCTTTTCAGAATAAACCAACTTCTTCCTGCCTCGCTCAGCCCTGAAGACACCGTCAGGATTCAGAGGAAGAAGACCAGACAGAATCCTGTGTTTGAGTGGAATTTATGCATCATGTATGAGGTGTGTGGATATAAAACAGGCTGTTGCTTTTAAGGGTTAATCCTCTGTTAACGTGGGTCCTTTTTTCGGGCTTATTTTGCCCTGAGAGAGGCACCTGGACTGTCCGTAACTCTTTGTTTTTTATTGTCTCGTATTGTCCTAATCCTAATTATCCAATTTTTTTTCCCTCTAATTATATTACTATTTTTATAACCATTTTATCACGATTAAACTTTTAAAATTTTTAAAGAAAAACGAGTGACTGGCGTTTCTCACAGGAACACGGAACGTATTGACCTGCGAGGGAGGGGAGGCTCAGGTGGGATGGGGACACCCACGGTCTGAACCGCAGGGGGGAATGTGTTCCTTAGCAAAAACGAGTGCAATTTTAATGGATTCACCGCTCTCGGCGGCAGGGCGCTGCCCGTGGGGCCGGGGCGGGAGCGGGGCCGGGCCAGGGCGGGCAGCGATGGCGGCCGAGCTGCGGGAGGCGCTGGAGCAGCGGCTGCGGGACCTGGGCATCGCCACCGTCACCGCCGAGCACCCGCAGGTACGGCAGCCCGCTGGAAAGCCGGCAGTAGAGCCCTGCCTCGCCAGCGGGGCACAGCGGGATTAGGGCGGGAGGAGGTCCTGCAGTTTTAGCAGAAGTGTCAGTGTGGAAGCTCTCGCAGGGCCTGGCAGAATGGTTGGGGCGTTTTTTGGTCGCTTTGACTCTGCCTCCAGATCCACCCCCTTTCCCCCGTGGAGCGGCTCGCCCACTTCTTTGCCCTGAAGTCGGCGGCATCCAAGATGCTTTCCAAACTCCTGCTCGCTCCCAGTACAAGCCACGTCATTCCAAGTGTGTGGAGCCGCAAACGGGAGCGCTCCCAGCGCTGCCTTTAAAGCGAGGCATTGCTGCACACACGAGACAGAAACGATTCTGAAAGTGTGCCGGAGCAGTTCGTCACATTTTATTCGTGTTCTGTTAAAATTCCTTCATAAAAGGGTACAGCTTTTAGGCCGAGTAAAACATTCAGCATTTTCTAAATACTTAACAAAAGATACGTGCCAGCACACGACTGGGAGTCTAATGGGATATAGAGTCTGACACCGCACTGGTGCTCTTTTCCAGGTGTTCACTGTTGAGGAAATGATGCCCCACGTCCAACACATGAAAGGAGGTCACAGTAAAAACCTGTTTCTTAAAGACAAAAAGAAGAAAGGGTTCTGGCTGGTGACCGTCCTGCACAACAGGCAGGTCAACCTGAACGAACTTGGTAAAAAACTGGGCGTTGGAAGTGGAAACCTAAGATTTGCTGACGAGAACGCCATGCTGGAGAAGCTCAGAGTGGGTCAGGGCTGTGCCACGCCGCTCGCCCTCTTCTGTGACCAGGGAGATGTGAGGCTGGTGCTGGACGCTGCCTTGCTCGAAGGAGGCCATGAAAAGGTGTATTTTCATCCAATGACAAATTCTGCAACCATGGGCTTAAGCCCCGACGACTTCCTGAAGTTTGTGAGATCAACAGGCCACGATCCCGTCATCGTACACTTCGATGAAGACATTAAGTAAAGGAAGTTCATTTTTCTACTGCTACTCGTAGATTTTTGTAGAGCAAAACTGGTGAAAAATCTCATTACAAATAAAACTTGAAAAAAAATGGCTTACTCCTTTTTCATTTGTATCACTTATGTAAGTTTGTATCGTATAATCTGGTGAGAAAAAATACTGCCTTTCAGTTATTAGAAGGTTAACAATGTTCTTAAAAAGACATTTTGCAATCTACCACTTAGTAGCTAGTAAGTAGAAAAGGCATTATTTAAATACTATTATAGTCTTTATCAGTAAATGGATAAAACTAGAATTTCCCAGGCATGGGACTGGCCTTGAAGGTTTAAACTTGCCATCACTAGGGAAGAACAAATTCCACGTTGTAGGACACCTGTCAGTACCCCCAGGACAGAGTGACTGTCCCTGCACCCACTTATGCCCCACTACACATTGCTTTCTTTTTATTCTTTTTACCTAAAAAAACCCCTCACCTACACTACAGGAAATGCATTTGATTGTCATTGTTCAATCACGGTGTGCTGAAGACAGAAGCAGCAGAAACTCCCTCAAGTCCAGTAAACATCCCATGGCAATGAGCACCCCCCAAAACCCAAAGCCAGGGGAGCAGTGAGTGAGGGATGGATTCTGAAGGGGATGGGGGTGAAGGCTTTTGGATGCAGCCCAAGGAAAATGTCAGTACAAACAATGCCTCCAGGGCAAGAGCATCAGCACAGGCTGGGATGAACTGAAACCAAAACTACAGGAGCATGAGTTAAAAACATGTAAAAGCATTTGTGATCTTGGGTGAATGAACAACTGCTATTAACTGATGAGGAAAAATCATCATCTACAGTAAGGCAAGTCCTTCACTCACAGCCTTACCACTTTTCCTCCTTCTGGAAGGATCTGGCACCTGTTCCCTTCACCACCCAGCAGTGCCGGTTCTCCGCCTCTGACACAAACCAACCCCATCTATCCTGGGAGTCATGTCCAGTGGGGAAAGAAGTGACCAAAAAATGCTGCAGCTGTAGGAAGAGTACTAGAGAGACGTCCAGATACATGTGATTTTATAGACTGAAGGGAACATGTGGTATTTAGGAATACTGGGTTGATGAATGAGCTCTGGATTGACAAATGCACCACTAAATTGGCTCCACAATAATACATCAGGATGTGTCTTTAAAAGTAGTGTTTACCTTGCTCTCTCTGCCATTCACTCTTCCTACCCCTTACATTTTTTTTATTGTGGTACCCCAAAATCCCTTATCAGTTAAAAAAAAAAAAAAAAGAGTATTAGATTTGACTTGCCAAAGTTTTAAAATCTGGAATGTTTTAAATGTGACAATTTTTTTGAAGGACGTGCACAATCCTGGAATCTGCACTGCCTAAAGTGTGACTTAACTTCATCCTCAGAAGGGATCCTGAGACTCATCTCAGCAAAAATAACTACCAGGCTTCAAATACTACATCTGGCAAATCTAGAATGATTTCTTTTTTGTATTTACTTAGGAAATCAGTCTCTTTTTTTAATATTTTTTAAATAATAGTATCAAAATAGTGTACAGTTAAAAGCTACCCAGCTCTAACACAAATCACACAGAACAAACTACACATGGTCCAGAAAAATTCTGCTACAGTTTTATCAGTTTCCTTCCAGAAGAAATACTCACTGCACACATCACCACGACACCAATACCCTTCCAGTAACATCAGTTTCCAGAAAAAAAAGTGTGTATAAATATACACACACAAAATAAGAATAAAAATTATTTGGTTTGGCATTTTAATAACATCATTAATAAATGTATACAATGGCAAACATTAAAAAAATCAATATGTAAAGGAAATTACAGTTTTAAATAAGAGCTTTTTTAGTTCTGTTTCACACCTCGGTACATTCCTTTAAGGCAGTTTTATTAATATCAAAGCATTATTTACATACACATCATCAGCTACCCCTAAAAATCACACATGAGCTCCTTTGTTAGGCTGCATCATGTCCTGGACAAAATTTAGAAATAATAATAATAATAGGTGTAGGTGCTGGGAATGTTACTAAATCCTCAGAGACTATCAGAAAAGCAAATAGAACATATACATTGTATGGCACGAGAACCTCCTTTGTAACCTGGAACTGGCAGTGCTGGGTTTGGGATTCCTGGGGTACAAAGCTGCCATGTGCATCCCTGGCACTGGGAGGAGCAGGAACTGAGAAGCTGCTCCCAGGTTAAATTTGGTTTTTTATTTCCCTTTAAGGGCACAGACTGAGAAGGTTAAGAAAGGAAGAAGGAAAGGGGAATTGGCAGAGCACAGAGAGCCACCTGACTGCTCGAGTGCCAGGGAACTTCTCTGCAAAGCAAAGCAGGCAGCGTGAGAAGAGCTGAGCCGGTCAGTGGAGCGGGAGGGGATCCCTGTGTGATGGAAAGGACACATCCAGCTGTGCTGAGGGCACTTCCACGTGCCCAGCAGTGCTGCACACACAGGAGTGTGTGCCAGAGTCACGGCAGTGACAGTGAGTGTCCCCAGACACAGGCACCCAGCTGGGATCCTGGCAGGGTTTGGCACTGCAGTTTCAATCTCCTGGTTCAAGCCGCGCATTTTTCTGTAACAGTAACGTGACAAATGGTTCTGGTTGGGGGGTTTGAGCTGCATCAGTCCCCTGTCAGCAGAGAGTGAGGAGCAGCCAGGTCCTGAAAGGAGCCTGAACCTGCTGTCATTCACAGTTAAGAGATATTTTCCTGTTCTTTATGGCCTTTGAATTGTCTGTCATACCCGCTATGCCCTTAGTACAGATCTTTTAGCCCATTTTATCACAAAAAACATTTCAGAAAAAACTCATTTTAAAGAAAACAAACAGAAAATTCCCCCTTCTAAAGCTTATTGTGCATGCCTCATTTTTCCCTTTTTTGAGAAGATTTCAAGCTTTTGAATCTGTTGAACTGCCTTCAGCAGTGGGGCTCACCTTCTGAGGAAGCTGCAGGTGACATTATGCACCTGCCTGTTGGACACTTGGAGGTGACACAGGGAACTCAGCCCTTTACATGAGGAACAGGAATGTGCTTACTGGCTTTAATAAAATAGAACAACTCGTTTTGGGTCTCAGTTCCCATCAACTTCCTCTGAGCTTGCTGCAAATCTTTCCAGACAAATATATGCGACCACCAAATGTACCAATAATGTTTGTTGACTTTAATATAAATCAATAATGAACAAAATGTATCTAGTAAAAGATAACCTTAGAGGGAACTGATTGTAAAATGCATATGATATTATTTACATTTCTTTTTGCCATCAAGAAACCTCCTAAGCCACAATCAGCTCATGTCAAAAGACAAACAGTAAAAATAAAAAAAATTAGTCAATACACAAACATTGTAAGACAGTCTTATCCTGGAAATGGCATTTGTGGAAAACAGCCTTATATTAAAATAAAAGTTATAGGAAAACCATACCTGACAATTTCCTGTCAGAAACATCTGAACATACATCTGCAGAGTAACTCGGCAATGTGAAAAACACAAAGGACAAACAATGTCTCTATAATACCATTATCCCATGACTCCCACTTCTGTTAGTTACCAAGCTTTTCCATGGATGTAAACAAATTTTTCTCTTGCAGTATGCAACAAAAATCAGCATAAACTTTCTTAAGAGCAATTTCATGCAGATTATGCTAACCAAATAAGGCAGTGAAGTGCCAGTAGCTGTGAGGTTTTTGTATCTGTATATACAGTCCATTTCAACCAAATTCTACAGCATTTCCTTTAGATTTACAGACGTAAATAGAAACTGCTAGTTTTGGGGGTTTTTGGCTAATTATTAGCAGAAGCTTAAGCAAATCAGTGGCTAATTTCAAAAACAGAAGATGAAATAAGCTTTGTTTTGTTTGTTTTTTTTTTTTCCCCTGGAGTAATTCTTGAGACCTTAAAATCCTTGGTCCTTAGGGAGATGAGAACTGTCCTTTATTCAGTAGATCTTAACAGTGCAATGTGCAATAATTCCTAAGACCATCTACACATTTTCGGCAGTAGACTCCAGTAGAGCTCCTTGATTCAAGGAAGGAAGGTAGGTAGGTAGGTTTTTATTTCTTGCCTGCTCTAGTCACGAAGAATGTAAAAAATTCCCTTAATTTTTATTAATGATTCCTACAGTCGCTGTCTTGTTACTTCAGATATAAAGGCTTCACACTGAGATACTGAAGGACACTTTTCTCTCTGTGTTCAGTCGAAAGGCAGAAAGAGAAAAGAGTGTAAGAAAAAGCTTCAAGTGTAGAGGCACAACACACAGAGTTCAGTCACTAACAGCACTAACAGCATGCACCAAAGGGGCTCAGGGAAGTCAAGAAGAGGACAGAACACCAAAAACAAGCTTTATAAAAAGACAGATTCCGTGGAGTACTGAATACTCTGAGTTTTGTTCAACTGTTCTTGCAGATTTACCTGTCCCTGTCTAAAAACTGACTACAGTATTATTTCTTAATGAGATTTCTTTGAACTTTCTTCTTCAGGAGATTGGAAAAATAAAAATAAATGTCATTTTTACAGGCAAAAGGCTGAGCAGGGTGAGGTTCCCTGCCTCTGGAAGAAGCTCTGGAGAGCCACCGGCCCCGGCCTAACGAGTGAGCGCGAGAGAAGCCAGGTAAGCAAGCAGGATTTACATCTGGTTAATGCAATGTGCTCTGGGGCTGAGATGGAATGCTGTTAGTCTGTTGTAAATGAAATTCATCTCATTTACAGGTTGGGCAGGAAACTCACCACTTGGCCCACAGCTCAGGTAGTGGGTAATAGAATTAGGAGCTTTGTTGCTCCCTAGACCTGCTTTTTGAATTTCTGCTTTCTGGGATAGCTTCCACATCTGCAGAGAAAAGCATTTCAGGTTATTCATTATGTTTATCAGGACATGAAAAAAACCCCTCATGCATTAAAACACATTCTACTCATTAGGAGAGCAAAAGGATACATAAACACTTTCTGGTTGTTTTTAGGAGGAAAGGACAGAGGAGAGGGACAGAAGAAACTCACTGCAAGTGCCTGCTCAGCTACACTCACTGACATTCATCTCAGCATTTACAACAGCCAGGTGTTATTCCTAAAGCCACAGTCAGACACATGTCACCTTTAGCTACACCAACCCTCCATTT